TGCCTAACATCTTGAGAGGATCACCCTCCTAATCTAGCTGAGTGTTGAAATCTCTAAGAAGCATGCTACCCTGTACTCACTAAATTTTTACATATGTTTACTTGAGAAGTATGCTGGATCTACAAGCTAAAAGGCAGTTGCATTTCCTCTTAAAAGCACAACAATCATCGGCAAGGTCCTAGGGACGAAGGATTTCACCTCAATGTTAAGAATTGATGAGTATGAGGTTAACTGTGATAACTGACCTGGAAGATATTATTGAAATATGCAGTGTACCTGTTATTTTCACTAATACTAGTAAAAGAACATTTCAGTTTTGACATTGAAATATTTTGGCAGGTAAAGAAATTTTCGTGGAAGAGATAACAGTAACATTGGCTCAAACATTGTTATAGACAAAAATACAGTTTTACTTGAGCATGTTTTGAACACACTTTTACCTGTTGGTTCTCATAGTGTAGTGCAGAAAATATTTCGACTTGATCAAGTTGAAATATTTGAGCAGGTGAAATTATCAGTAGTACATGAAATTCACAGACAGTGGCTTAGATATTATAACAGATATATACAAATGGTGTTCCCAGTGTTTTATTGGTTGTGATAAGAATATCCCCTGTCAGGCAGATAGGAATATTTTTAATAAGCAAATAATTTTATGGAATAAAATTTTAACATTGTTCCATTACAAAATGCTGTTTTGAGTATGAAAATGCAGGCTGTATGTGTAATGGGGCAAGCAAAAGGCATTGTCCATTTAGTATAACCTTGTAATTCATGGTATAATTGTTTCACGCTATAATTGAAAGTGGAAGAAAATCAATGGTCAAATGGATGGTCAGTATAGCCTAAATTGAGAAGACCAAAGTAGTTTCATCCTCCATTTCTTCCTACTGGAACTTGGCACTGTCTGTATAACAATAAAATGGTAGATTAGAGATGATGTTGGGTTTGAGAGTCTGGTGCATGTGTGCCAGCTGACCAGGAGAAGATGGGTGTGAGTACACATTAAGCTTGTACATGTGTTGCTTGACAAGTACCTTCTTATGTGTGTAAATGTACATTGTTATGACCCAATTTAGCCTACAAACTTTTCAAAATCTTGACTGACTGAATTCGCCTAACTTTACATTGTAATCTGGACTTTTGTATGAAGGATCAAAGTGTGGATGTGTCTGGCTACCTTAGTTTTGAACTAGCCAGCTGTTTACCATTCCTTGTTGTTGAGTGTTCCAGGAGTCTAATTCTGTTGCTTGAAAGATTGCTGGCAAGTTGAAGATCAAGGTGGAGAGAAGCTAGCTTGGCTGAAAAAGCCGGCCAAAACAGTTCAGATAATAGGTAGCCTCTTCATAACTTGTTTGATAAAGCAGATGCTGAATGTTGAGCTTGAGGTATGCTGACATTGGAATTCTGTGGTACAGTGCTACTCCCATTTTAAGCTGTGCAAGAATATATACTTTTTTAATTTTCCATTTTTTTCTTTAAGTGTATATGCGTACATGCTTTAATTGAACTTCTGACCCATATAGATATGCATGTAACATAGTTTATTAGTTATTTGTGTAAAGGGTGTAATTTTTGAGTGCTTTTATCATAACATTCATTGGGAAGGGTTTCATTCTTTGTATGTATGTACGTATTTTTGATTTAGTTTTTTTATTTACAGTTTAAATTTGACCCTTTCAAACTACAACAATAGCCACTTATTACACTTGGAAGCTTTGTGTGAACTATAAATCTGGTTTACAAACATGCTCATGTCAAATTACACAACTGTGCTCAAGTTTTGCATGTACTACCATTAATCAGGACTATTTTATTTATTTCATTTAACATTACTTACAAAATTCTAATTTTTACATTTTAGTTAATTTTATAACAGTAAAAAAAAAAACATAAAAAATTATTTAGTACTTACATCTGAAATCTTGTCGTCTTCAAGATTTTGAACTGATACAATCCCAGTCATCTCACTGGGTGGAAGAAGTATAAAGCTTTGGAATGCTTACCAAAGTATTAATGTTCAGCAAAGGATTTCTCCAAGCAGTGCTGAAATGAAGTCATCATGGACCCTGGTGCAAAATACTCGGGTCAGTCCCCATCTATAGTGCGAAATTAATTACTATGGTGTATATACCTATAATGTTACTAATTATTTCAAAAACTTAAAGCGCAATATAGCTTTGAAAAATATCATGTAGCATTTGCAAATGTCACAGGAATTGTCAAAAACAAAGTTATCACTGTTAATACTTCTTGGAAGCATGAATACGTGGCACTGTTTTCACATGTTAACAAGATTGCTAACTTATAAACTGTTGAAATGTTTTCAAGATCTGATTTGAAACATTGTGGGAAAGAGAGCAACTGAGCAAGAAATGCTTTAGAAATACCTTTCTCATATTTCTTAACTCAAGTTATGGATGGCTCCATCGTACAATTCCTTATCAGTTACAGCAAGCAAATTTTTGGGGGAAAATAAATGCTAAAATTTACAGCAACAATATGTTTTAGACCTTCAAATCTAAGATTTATTCGAGTGAACATAATGTCTAAACACGCTGGTCTTGAAAGTTGAAGTTTCTTTTCTGGATCCAAAAGACTTTCATCTTCAAATGTTTCTTTACCTTTTTTTATGCACCTGTGCTGAAATTTGGGCTACAAACCCATTTCATCAAAATTTCTTCAAATGTTTCTTTTATTTGCATGAAGTTGTCTCTTATTTGCACTAAAAAGTTAATTGAGTGCTTTAGTAACTTAACTGCTGTGTCCTACAAAATATTTTCAGCTTTTTGGTGACTTAGAAATTACATTAGTTATTTCTAATAATTTTGTTTAAGAAAAATTAGGAAAATAAATTCAAACTTTTCTATTTGCTTCGTAAGACCATGCAGACACTTCAACTCACTCGTCATGCTTTTTACTAAGAATTATTTTTGAAAGATCTTTTACAATGTCTGAATAGCAGAATCTTAATGCAACTAGTGAATCATGCATAGAGGACCACTAAGTCGGACATAATCTTTTAAGTGTTACTTTCTCTATAACATTAGAGACAGAAGCCAATTCTTTTAACATGGACCATCATTTAAAACCAGAGAAATGATAAAGATGTTCAACAGTATCAAAAAAGTTTTTAATTTTAGAGATTTAAATTATGGGCATCATAACGAACATATTCAGCATTTGGTTCTTTTTTAGATACTCTGCCTTGGACTCCCAAATATATATAGCTCATATTTACTGCACCATTATAGCCTTGACCACAACATTTATTAAAATTTAATTCATTTTCATCAATTGAATGAACAATTTAATTTTCTAATCCAATGGTAGTTTGTTCGGGAACTTCACAAAATCCAATAAACGATTCCTTGATTTCAAAGACACGAGGAAGTCCGTTTGAGTTAGTGTTTATTTTGACATATCAAAAGATTTGACTCACTTGATGACATTTGAAATGTCTTGTGCTGTATCTATGATTATTATTATTGAGAAAAAATGGTGCTGCTTTTATGTCATCAATAATTTCTCTTTCAACTTTTTAGCAATTATCATGATGACTTCATCCTGTATTTTAGGACTAAGATATTTGACTTGTCCTTTTTTCTCTTCAAGCAACTGTTCAAGAACACAATAATATTTTGCTAACAGTTGAATAATAGAAAGAAAATTATCACTATCAGGTTAATCAAAGCTCTTACTGTGTTCTCTAAAGGGCAAGTTACAAGAAGCTAATGTTACATTAATTATTTGCTTTAAGACATATCTCCAAAAATTTTATTTCTCTGTTTTACATTTTCATCTTGTTTTCTAAGGTATTGATCAAATTCCATCTTTGCCTTGTCAGACAAGCATCAAGATGTGTTTTTGTGCATTCACGTGTCTGAGTTTTTGAGTCAGATGTCTCCAGTCTCTTATGCCAAGCAATATTAAAAGAAGAAGACTTATGATTGGCAAAAAGCCAGCATGGTTTGCAATAAATGCTATCTGTCAATGGCAAATAGCATAACCACATTATAGGCAGAACCATCCCCAATTTAAATTTTTTAGAATATGAAGCTTCTGAAAAACGTTGATAATCCTGATTCACATCCCTGGGAAATAGCTCTTTGGGTCTACATGATCCTTTGGATATAATTAAACATTTTAACACACTATTTTCGATATTTCCAGGAAAGTGTTCTCAGTCAGATGACAATATCAAGCTCATTTATGGTATTCCAGCTATTTCTTTGCGAATTTCTTGATTTTTTGTCATAATTAAATTTTAAACATGTATTTTAAACATCTTGCTTCTTCACTTTTATCTACACTATCATTATTCGTAAAAACAAGTTCAGTTTCGGTAACATCCAAGTCTTTTTTTTCTCCTCTCTTTTCGCTTTTCTTTTTTTGTTAACCACTTTTATACTTCACTGTAGACATTTTGAATTATTAATGGAGAAATTGTTAAAATATTAAATTAATGCACTGCAGGGTCTGTACCCACCACCAGCCACCATTTATTTAGCACTAATATGTTTTTATAGAATGCAAGGCCAAGTAATGGTACCATACAAAACATGCATCAAACATGGATAAATTCCATGACTGGCTCTGGCAATGAGCAACAGTTTATGGCGCATACTTATTTCCCACATGTCCCAACTTGATACTCATGATTGCTAGGCAAGGGAGGCATAATATTACAACCCCAGATGTCTAAGGCTATGATTGGCTGGTGATGATATCATTCAGAAACTCAGTTATGAAAAAATGAACTATTATTGGTGCCTGCAGAGCATGGTTGCCATACGTGCAATTTAATCTGTTGATCTACTGATAATTTTTTTTTTCAGATTTTTTTTACCTCAAAATGAGCAAAATCTACAGATTTTTGTAATTTACTGTTATTCCTATGTTGTAGGATAAAACAAAATACTGAAAATGGAATAGAGATTAAAATAATTGTGGAAATAGACTTTTCTCTACATAAGCAAAATATTTTTTTTTTCCTCTAGGGCTTCTACTGCAAGCATGCATGTGTCAGGATTGGTATTTTGGTCTTTGTCAACCTGGGAGGGTCAGGTTTAATGTAGACCTCTTCCTTCCTTTGCTATTTCTATTATTTACAAATGCTATATAAGCATTCAAGAAATGAGAGCACTGAACTTAACACTGATTTGAACTTCCCCATTAAGGACTTCCCTCTCATGGCCTTGAAACGCATTCCAAACTGTGGCCAAAGTTCAAACACCCCTAACCCTTCCTGCGTGCCATTTGTCTGCCAGTTTTACCAAATTAGTGCAAAAAGAACAAAATTTTGCATGTCTCAGTATCAAAGCAAGTACATTTAGTCAGAGTCTAGCCTTACTCTCTGCCAACTTGAAATAGTTGTAGAATGTAGAAAGTTATTTCCCCCACTTAAACTAAAAGAGATATTTACCTAAAGGTGGTCTCGTTGTTAAATGCAATGAACCTCAAGAATACACACATCTCTTGGCCCACTAGCTCAACACAGCATTTGGTAGTAACACAACCATACACACTTCCCAAAACACCTACCAGCACTACATGTTTTTAATAAAAAATGTTGCCTTTGATATTGAAGACACTAAAATCCTAGATGAGCTGGTAGCAACAGGATACAACTTCACAAAAGTAGAGAGGATCACCTCCTTCAAAACAATGCAAAAGACACCAATGATAAAAGTAATACTGGATAACAAAACATAGTATGAATCTCTACTTTCCAATGGATGCACACTTTTCTCTAGAAAATACTTAATAGAAATAGCTAAAGTAACACCTAAATGCATTACACAGTATTGCAAATGGCAAAAATTTAGAGAGACAAAACCATATTGTAAGTCAACTGCCAGATGTGCAGTGTTACACTAACGAATGATCACAAGCCACTTGTGCAAATTGTTAGGGCCCACAGAGCATCCCACCATCTAACAATTTCACGTTGTTGCAACATTACATATTGGTTGCCACAACATTAGAGGTTTACATTGCAGTAGTGTAAATTTGTGGACTCCCAGAAATGTTTATACAACATTGTGGTTTTACGTTGCATTGCTACTTTCCTACAACCATTATGCCACCATTTTTTTTAACCCTATCAGGACTGCCAGAGTGGCATAATGTCACAAGTGTTTTTCTCACACTTATACTTAACCTAATTGCATGAAATTTGGTACATGCTTTTAATATGTATTTCTGCTTGAAAAATATAACAATCTGGTGTAGTATTGATATATTTTTGGTTATGAATTAAAATTTTTGGATATATTCTTGTGAAGCACTTTCTTCTTTTTTGTATGTAAAAACACTTCATCTTAGAATTTCTGTTTTTGGTTATTGTGTGTCCAAAATCATTTAAATGTATCCAGTAGTTTTTTTTTCATTAAAAGTATTTTTTTCTTTCTGTATTAGTTCTAGTAACAGTATACTAACTTTCTCATCTGTTCATAAAATCTGACAGTAGTAGTTACTGGAAAATATTAAAGAATGAAGGAAAACTGTATTATTTTTGACTAGAAACTTTAATTTTATATATTGAATGAGAGCTGTCCACTGGTTATGTAATAGTGTTAAACCCACTCATTATGGTTATCTGATAAAATAATAAATTAATCTTCGTTCATTCTCATAAGTTTATTCAACATTTATTCTCTGATATAAACTTTACAAAATTTGATTGCAATTATTATTGATGACACTTTTCCACTTTTTTTTTTAGAGGTTTTTCTAGTTGTCAGTCAGCTCTTATTTTTCCACTAAATCATTTTCCAATGTTTGACCACCGTTTGCTGAAGTCGATTTCTGCAAAACATCCAGCAACATATATGTTAATTTTATGAACAAAATTTTTAATTATGTAGTTATAGAGTGTAAGAGAAAATTTCCCTCCAGAATTATTGACTCCAGCATACTTCGTGCCTTATTCCTCCTGGCTTATTGGGATAATGTTTCAGAAGTTTTGTTACCAAGTCCTCAATAGTGTTTTCTTTACCTTTGAGTGGGTCTGAAGGCAGGCTTCTGCAACAAACACAAAATTAAAAAAAACTTTGAGAATGGTTAACTGGAAGATAATTTCTATTTCATTCTCTTAAACATTGAATTTTATAATTATCTCAAAATTCTCAACTGTGTTATGTATTAGAATTTCAAATATCCTGAAATTGAGTTAAATGATACTTTACATTTAGTAGTTAAATTGTGCTTGGGATTTAGTAGTTAAATTAAAGCCGATATATAGTCAGTTCATGATATTTGCCACCAAGATTGATACACATTGTCATCGTTTTTAACACAAATACATTTTAATATATGCACAACAATACAATTTACAGTAACAATTATTACAAATAGTTGTTACAAACAATGATTTATAAACAAAAGTTTCACAAACTTACAAGCAATGTAAAATCTTTTTTCTAGTTTGGAACTCCCTTGATATCTTATCGAGGTTTACGATGAGCAAGTTAATTACGAGTCAATGTAGGTACGATTTGCATAACAGGGAGCTAGCTACCTTGGTCCTTCGTTATTCACCAGCCACACATGCCTAGTTTTCCACTGTGAAGTTATATAATGTTTTTGCCGGGAAGCTAGCTAGCTTTGTCCTTGGCCACATACGCTAGGTTTTCCACCGTTGAAGTAAGGTAATGTGTTCGTAAAAATATTAATGTTCGATGAGAATCCACAGAAGTTAAATGATTTATAATGTTCAAAATTTATAAATATTTTTGGTCAAATATCTTAAATTTTCCAATTGTTAAGCATTATAAAAATCACAGTTATAGCTTTCGAAGTTTATAGCACACTGATTATAGCGAAATACTAATAGACACTCTCACTTGGCACATTGCATTGGTTATATTTATAGCCGTGTGGAGCCGTTCTAGAAATTTCAGTCTTAAGTAACAATAAAATTTAAGTGTTTACGTATATACATATATTGTTGATTCTTACTGTCGAGAATCTTCTACAACTTTGGAGAATAGGCGGGAGTTTTGCAATACATATTTAACACTATAAGTTATGCATGTTTTTAAATATAAACTTAATCAAAACAACATCTATGTTAAAATAAATATATTGTTACGACCGTGGGGTAACGTGACGAGTATTCTAGAAGATTTGCTAGTGTGTTACGACAGCGTGGTCACGTGACGAATATTCTAGAAGATTCGCTAGTGTGTTGTGACAGCGGGGGTCAGTTACGCTGGTGGTGCGTGTTGAGAGTCTTAGAAGTTTCTAGAAAAGGCAGTATTATCGTATATAAGTGCGCTCGACAGTGAGAGAGAAGACGGAGTCGAAGCAACA